ACCATGGACATCTCAAATTCTTCCTTCATGACCTTTACTAAATCATCAGTGTACTTCTGTAAAGTAGAGCCAAAGACAATGTCATCCACATAAATCTTAGCAATGGTGACATGACTTCCAGTGGTTTTTACGAACAGTGTTTTGTCGACACTTCCTCACTTATATCCATGATGCAGTAGATACTGTGTCAGTCGTTCGTACCATGCTCTTGGAGCTTGTTTGAGTCCATAGAGGGAGGGCTTTTCTAAGCTTGTAGACATGAGATGGATGATCTGGATCTTCAAATCCTTTCGGTTGAGCAACATAGATGTCTTCATGCAGGTACCCATTCAAAAACGTTGTCTTAACATCCATCTGAAACAGTGTGAATCCCATAATACATGCGACTGCCAACAGAATTCTGATCGACTCTAGTCGTGCCGCAGGGGCAAACGTTTCATCATAGTCAATTCCTTCTATCTGAGTGTATCATTGAGCAACCAACCGGGCTTTGTTTCTTGCAATATTTCCAGCTTCATCAGTTTTATTTTTGAAGATCCACTTTGTTCCAATTATGTTAACATGATCAAGTCTTGGTACTAGATCCCAAACATGATTCCGGTCAAATTGGTGTAGCTCCTATTGCATAGCCTTGATCCACAGATCATCCTGTAAAGCTTCTTTTACATTCCTTGGTTCTATTTTTGAGGTATAACAGGCAGATCCGAATATTTCTATTAGATTATTTCTCATCCTGCCCCTGATTTTCATCCCATCTGATGGATCTCCAATAATGTTGTCTGATGGATGATTTTTCTAAGTTCTGGTAGGCTTGTTTTTTCCTACATCATCAGTGAGAATGGTCTCCTGTTCAGAACTTTCTTGATCTTCATCTAACGAATCTTGTGTTTTGGGCAGACTGGTGTCCTCGGTTGTATTTAACTCACTGAGAGGAGGATCTGTCTCTGGATCAGTTACTGATGTTTCTACAGATTCTTTAGGATTGTCATCTATAACAACATTTACTAATTCCATTACAGATTGAGTTCTTTTGTTGTAAACTCGATAAGCTCGACTGTTTGGAGAGTACCCAAGAAAGATGCTCTCATCGCTCTTAGGTTCAAACTTCCCTCTTTGTTCCCTATCGATCAGCACATAACACTTTGTCCCAAACACATGAAAATACTTCAAGTTCGGCTTCTTTCCCTTCCAGATCTCATATGGTGTTTTGGTCGTACCTGGTCTGAGATAGACTCTATTTACTGTATGACAGGTTGTGTGTACTGCTTCAGCCCATAAACGATGTGGCAGATGCGATGCATGTAACATAACTCTAGTCATTTCCTGCAAGGTTCGATACCCTAATTCTTGTCGGAGTGTTTCTTTCTTCTTCAAAACGTAACCCTAATTCTTGACGAATAAGAGTACTTATAGTTCCATAGTAAGAACACTCTCCATAGATATCTTTGATTGTAGATGGTAGGACAATATTTGAAGAATGTAATCTTAAAGATTCGGTCCATACCTTTCCAAGACAAATACGCTGATCTTCTTTCCAATTCTGAATTCTTAAACCGCGTACTGCATTTAAGGAAACAGCTTCCTAAAACAGATCTTCAGTGTCAGTCCCTCTGTTGTTGTATCTGATTAATCAGTCCTCTGTAGAACAAAACCGACACTAAGCTAATCCTATCTTAGTTTGCCATAATAATACTGTCAATTATATGTTGGGGGTTTTTTGAGCAATTGAAACACTAACAAAGATATTCCCTCTTATAATGTTACAATAAACATTTCAGAATAATCAAACATATATAGAAGCATGGACAGAAACAGCTTTAGCAAGAGAAACAATTAACTGGCTAGAGTAGCAGACGATAGATCACAAATAGTGAATATTAGCATCATTACTGCTAAAGTATACTGCTATGAGCAAGTATTGGTAGAAATATTAGGTGTATTTGTTCCCAATCGGCGATAAAAACAAATATACCTCAAAATAGTGAATAGACTTATCTTGGTATGAAATTCATACAGAAAAATGTTCTGCATGTGCTTTCCAATTAACTATTTACGAAGATCCAAACTGTAAGATGATTTAGGGCTAACCAAGATAGTGAAATCAAAAATCGCAAGAGAGCTGATCGATATGGAGTAGTATTCTAGCTATAATGGTGGAGTTTCAAAGTGACTGAACAGAAATTGCATAGAAGATGAAGGTGAAGCGAACCTTTTGCAAAAACATAGCCTTAATCGACATTCAAGAATTGCGGTGACATATATGTTCTTCTTTAAGGGGGCGTTTGGTTCAAGGTATCTCATATTACCTTGGTAATATGAGAAAATGTAATATTAGATTATCATGTTTGGTTTAGGTAATCTGAGAGGGTAAGTAATGCAAGATTACTGCCACGTAGGAAATGATAGTATATTTGAGGTAATGTGAAATTACCAAATTTTGATTAGGTAATGTGGGATTACTTTTCAATATTCTAAAATTACCCTCATTTATTTTTCTTTTATTCATTACGACTTCATTATTCAATTATTATTATTATTATTATTATTATTGTTATTATTATTATTATCTTTACAGTACACATTCAATCATCATCATCATCATCATCATTATTATTATTATTATTATTATTATTATTATTATTATTATTATTATTATTATTATTATTATTATTAGGAATAAGGGTCAAATAGGCCACTGAACCGCACACAATAATACAATTAGGCCATTGAACTCAAAAAAACAACAATTACGTCCCTAAACTAACTCATTTCAAATAATTTGTTCAATTTGTAGGTTTTCCCCTTTCTAACAGGTCACCCAATTTAAAATATGTTTAAAAATATTTTTTTAAAAAAATTAATTAAAATAATCTAAAATTATTTATTAAAAAAAAAAATAACTAACTAACTTCGTCTCCGCCGGAGACGAAGAACGTATCATCGTCTCCGGCCATGGAGACGAAGATCCGTTCTTCGTCTCTGGCCGGAGACGAAGATCCATTCTTCGTCTCCATGGCCGGAGACGAGGAGACTCTTCGTCTCCGGCCAGAGACGAAGAAGGGATCTTCGTCTCCGGCGGAGACGAAGTTTAAGTCTTTTTTTTTTTTTTTTTTTTTGTTTAATAAATAATTTTAGTTTATTTGAATTAAATTTTTTTAAAAAAATTATTTTTAAAATATATTTTAAATTGAGTGACCTGTTACAAAGGGGAAAACCTGTAAATTGGATAAATTGTTTGAAATGGGTTAGTTTAGGGACCTAATTGTTGCTTTTTTGAGTTCAATGGCCTAATTGCATTATTGTGTGCGGTTCGATGGCCTATTTGACTCTTATTCCTTATTATTATTATTGTTAGTGTTTATGTTCAAAAACCCCACATTATAATTGGCAATATTATTATGGCTTCCTAAAATAGGTTTAGGCTTTTGTTCGGGTGGTTTTACAGATGACTGATCAATCAGAGACAACAACAGAAGGACTGACACGGAATATCTGATTTAGGAAAGCTGTTTCCTTAAGAGACTCACGCGGTACTTCAAAGAAGATCAGACCATTCTACCAAAAAAAGAAGATCAGACCACTATGGAAAGAAGATCAACGTATCTTCAAAGAAGGTAATGGACCAAATCTGCTAAGATTACTTTTCACTTTTACAGTCCTACCTTCTACAATCAAAGACATCTATGGAGAGTGTTTATTGAAGGATCTATAAGAACCAGTTCTTGGAAAGAAATAGGGTTACGACGAATATACGAAGAAACACTCCATACCGGCTATATGAGAATAGATCTTTGATAGGCATGCATCTTCTCAACACAGAATGTTCAAGATGATTAAGATGATGAACTTGAGAAGAACTACTGCTACTTAAGCGAAAGGACGTAAAGATCACACTGTTGTGGTAACAACTTTATAGAGCGTCATTGAAGTGGACTGCATCAGAGTTGGCTCTCCAAGTGAAGGGATTTCATTGGACTTCTGTATGCATGGCTCTCCAACTACAACAATCCACTAAACCTTTGTAGACTGGGTTTGTACCTTGTGTGGGGCACTTGGGTAAGATTATTGTATATCTACCTTTGTACATTGGATTATGAGTTAGTGGATTGGACGCCTATGTGATCGTCCCCCAGACGTAGATACACACTGTATCGAACTGGGTAAAAAACACTATGTGTCTTTACTTTTGTGCTTGACTATCGTTCCTCCTCATTACATACTTCTGATTAACCTAACTGGATCAATCAGTAATCTGTTTCAGTCATCTAGTTCTATCGAATTATCTAAGATGAGAAAATGCAAAATTACAATTATTATTATTATTATTATTATTATTATTATTATTATTATTATTATTATTATTATTATTATTAGTAGTAGTAGTAGAACCATCTTGTTAAATTTTGAATTATGAAAAAAAAACTTGCAATTTTGCACTTTTCAATTTATATGAGGGCATTTAAGTAATTGATGTAATATAACTTAAAATATAACATTCAACCAAACAAGTTAATGTTACATTCCTACAACTTTAACCAAACACATCAGGTAATCTTACATTCTCAAAATCTCACATTACTTTCAAAACTTAGAGCATCTACATCAATGAATAATAGAGAGTTAATGTCAGAATAAATCACTTGGGTAGAGTTATTCACAAATGTGGGATAAGGTTAATAGATGAAATAATCCTGCTGCAAGTTACAAAATAATGTCAGAAAATAAAGAAAAAGAAAAAGTGAAAGAAAGAAACGCGCACAACGGGGCCATAAGCCGGGCGCTTGACTTACAAATTTTTATTTTTTTTTTAATTCAGTTTTGTTTTATTTATTTTTTCTCTCCCCTCCCACCTTCTCTCTCTTACATTATTCCCATATTCTTCCCAACTAATGTTTATACACTTTGCAAAAAATTTCTCTCCCACTCAAATAAAATAATTTTCTCTTTACAGATTTTGACTTTATTTCAATTCATTATTCACACTTAAGCGCAAAAACAAAAATAAAAACACTGCAGAGAAGAAGAAAACAAAAAGACTTCAGCACAAAAGACCTCCGCCGTCGCTCCAACCGACGCTCTTCTCCTCTGCGTTGCGCCCCCGCCAGTCGCCACCGCCAACCAGACACTGTCACACCAGTGATCGACTCGCCACCTCGCAGCTTCATCTTCAAGCTTCAATCGCCACCAGGTGCCCAGCTTCGTTCAACCGTTGCCGGCTCAATCTTCACCCTTAGGTCTCAGGTTCGTAGTTCATCAACTCCGTCTATAAATCCTAATTTGTTCAATTGTTTGCCCAAAGTTTTGATTTTGAACTCATCCTGCAATCTTATTATATTTTTCTCCAATTTTACTTTTTTGTTGCTGCAAATTTTGCCCTAATTCTGTATAGAATTGATTACATTGAATATCCAATGTTTGGTAATTTGGGTATGTCATATGTGATCAAATTTTTTGGAATTGTTGTTGTTTGTTGGCTCTCTTTGATCAAATTTGGGTATGTCTATTTGATTATTTGTTCACTTTGATAGTTTGATTTATATAAAGAAAATCAAACTGATGTTTATTTTTAAAAATTTGTAGTGTTTCTCCAGTGGCTTAATTGTTGGCATTTGGAAGAATTTTTATTTTGCAGGTTTAGTTTTTTTATTCTTGTTCAGATTTATGATTTAATAACTATTGAAATGGCTTTTGCTGCAATAAGAGAATGCTTTTGTTCCTCATGTGTTTGTGAAAATGTCTCACTGAATATGTGTTTTGTACCCATGAGCTATGTATCCTGTCAATGATAAGGTAAGAATAAATAAGCTATGATTTTTATTATTTTTTTCTTACAGTGGCCATGAATCATGATCATTTGTGATAGCAGGAAGACACGCATTTGGTGGTTTAATAGCTTTTGTTGTTGTGTTCTCTGTTTTTCAGGGTAGAAACAATTCTATTTAAGATTTGGCCATTGTTTGGTCTTGGGACGAAGTATAAAGAAAGAATATGCTTTCAGGTTTGAAGTTCATCCCTCGTAGCCAACTAGATGAGGTGAAACTTTAAAATTTCAGCATTATGCTTTTCAAATTCAACTGAACATGTGTACCAACTTCCCCCTCATTTAATGCTTACTTAAGATCTATCTGTGGTGTTGTGTCAGGAAAAGAATGAAGACTCAGATGATTCACAAAAACATAGAAAAGAATCTCGTCGTAAAAAGAAAAAAGACAGGAAGAAGAAGAAAAGAAGTTCCCGTTACAGTAGTTCAGATGATGATCTTGAAAGAGTGAAAACTGGATCTAGAAAAAAGAAGAAATGGTATGCTTCAGATGAGGATTTTTCCTCACGTTCAGATGATAGTAGCAGTGCTTTTTCAGACATTTCTGAGAAAAGGAAAACTAACAGGAAGAAAAAGCAGAAGAGAAAAAACAGAAATAGCTCTGATGACGAAGGCAGAGGCAGTTCCAGAATTAAAGAAAGAAGTCATAGAAAAGATGCCTCGTCTGATGATTATTCATCAGAGGATGGTGGTAGTAAAAGCTATAAGGAGAGTGTAAGGAAAGAAATGGGGTTGGAGTGGATGCTTAGGCCTGCAGACAGTGCAGAGAAGGCTTCTAAAACTGCTGAGTCTGCTGAGATTAAACCAGAGGAAAATCTAGCTGAGGAGGTATGTTTCTGGTACATTCTATGACCTATTGACTTTGACTGCATATTGATGATACCAATTATCTAACTCTTAATCACAAGTGACCTAGGTCTGTGTTTTCTATGATCTGTTGAGTCTGACGATAGGGAATCACCATCACTTTAACTTGTATTGTTGATTGGCGATTGGCCATGGTGTCTCTTTGTCTTCCATAAATGCTTGAGAAATGCATATCCTCTACCCCAAAGTGGAACGATTCTGTGTTAGTTGTCAGCAAAGTATATTAGTTCTAACTTCTCTACTAGAATTTTTGTGATGGGTTTTCTGTGTGATCAGTTGGATTACCCATTTTTCTTTTTTGTTTCTGGTTCAGACTAGAAAAGTAAATCCAAGAGAACTCAACCCATATTTGAAGGATAATGGAAGTGGTTATCCTGAAGATTCAGAAGGAACCAAGGCCAGTGGCGAACAACTTTTGTCTTCTGCAGTTGTTGGTGATGGGGGTGCAAGCTGGAGGCTAAAAGCTTTAAAGCGAGCTAAAGAGCAAGCTGCTCGTGAAGGACGAAAGTTGGATGAGGTAGATACTCATGGATTGCTGTTAGAATTTTGTTTAGTAGCCTCTTGCATTTATATAGCTATATAAGTATATAATGCAGTAAGTGTTATAACAGGTAGTTGAAGAACGGTGGGGTTCAATGAGTCAACTAGCTGTTTCTGTTGCATCCCGCAAAGTTGCCCCAACCCATGCTCATCTTCATGCCATCAAAAGTAGGAGGAGGGGTGTAATGGAGAATGAGAATGTAGACAAACACGAAGAGGGATCTGTTGAGAAGGTAATTCTCTAAATTAACTACTTTAGTCTAGATTTCAAGTTGTGATTTGAACCACAAAAGTGACTACTTTAGTCACCTTAATTCTGTACGTGCAGATATCTATATTGCAAGTTGAGCTCTGTCAAGTTGTCTGTTCTCGTGTTGTATTATATTGGAGCTTCTTTCTTTCTTTCCCCTTTTCTGGTAATTTAGATTGCGTGTGCTGCTTGCATTTTGATTGTCTTTTTGATTTTTTCTTAACCAAGCATTTTATTCCTGTGTTGTGTGATTCTATATTAAATGTTAGCGAGTGCTTTCTTTAGAAATTTTGGATAGCTCTCAGGCTAAACATTAGAAAGTATAGACATGGCTAGTTCATGGTGCTTTTTTTTAAAATTCTTTTTGTTGTATTCTCTATGTATCTCATGTTGATGGGCTCTCTTCTCCCTGTGGTAGTTGGATACTACTTGGGCAAGCCATTTTAATGGCGGCCTAGTGAATATTTACTATTTAGTTATTTACTCATCTCGGTTAAAAATATCGTAGTTAGAAACTGTGAAGTTAGCTTTTGAAGGCTGCCTGCTATTTTTTGCCTCTCTCTATCTCCTATTGTGTATCTAAGCTTCTATTTTTTTTTTTTTTTTATTGAAGTAATATTAATAAGGCACTAAAAGTCTGAATAGTTTTTGTAATTCCCAGTTATTTTATTAGTATTATTTTGACATGGATATATTTTTAAAATAAATTATAAATTATTTTACTATAGGGTTCATAACTATACTAGTTTATTATTAAATTATTTTATGCGACCCAAAATTATTTTAAGAGTATTTTACTAATATTATTTTAGGGATATTATATTATTGTTTCCTAATTCAAGTTATTGTAGGAATATTATATTGGGTCTAATATTTTCCTTATCCTAATATTTATATTTTTCTTGATATTGGGCTAATAATATATATATATATATATATATATATATATATATATATATATATATATATATATATATATATATATATATATATATATATAGTGTATTTGCCCCGTGCAATGCACGGACAAAAATTTATAAGTATTGTTGTAATGTTATGATACAAAGCAGAATTAGTTTTATTAAAAATGTAAGTATAATTATACAATGTAATATTTAAATGTTAAAGACAATACATGCATTCATATTACTAATCTCATTTGCAATAATGATCTTACAAAGTTAAACGGACAGAGAAAGACCCGGACCACCTCATTGTTTACACAAAAAAAAAAAATGATCTTACAAATCTATTAATATGCATTCACACTTATGGAAATTTTTTTTTCCTACTTAATTTTACTTTACCTAACTTTCTTTGTAAATTATTAAAAAACTAATCAAAATTACAAACTATTAAAAAGTTAGTATATATATATATATATATATATATATATATATATATATATATATATATATATATATATATATATATATATATATATATATATATACACACTAACTTAATAAAAAATAAAAGTTTTAATATAACAAATGTTGGGCCAATATATAGTTACATTTTTAAAAATTTCTGGGCCAATCCTATCCCATTGTTGCAGCCCATTTTCCCAAAGTCCATTCACAATTTTGGAGGGAAATCTAAGGATTCTGCTTTATTATATATAAAGAAAAGATATATAATATATAAAGATATATATATATAAAAGATTTATTCCTAATCCTATTCAAACTATATTACTCCTATACATATATATCCTTCCTGAGATAACCCTAATTCCGTATATTTTCCTCTTCTCTCATTCTCTCTGTGTCACCATTCCCTTTCTCCCAGAAAAAAATAAAACCCTAGCTTCATCATCTGGTCTAGTCTCTTCTCATCAATAGTCAAGGATCCTCCATTCTAAGCGGTTGGAGTAGGATAGATTTTGGGCTTTTGAGGCAAGATTGATCTTCACCCACCTTTCAAAACCCTGAAAACAACAATTTTTCATAAGTGTTTATTTCCTCCAAAACTTACTCTTGCCCTATTTGTATTCTTTGGTACTACTCTGGTAAATTCAGAGAATATCTGGGCTGGGCTACACAAGTGTGCTGTATATCTCACAAAAATTTCTTGCAGGGAGCACCTCCTTCGAACCCGAAAATGAGAATGCCAAAACTTAAAGATTCATTGTCTTGGGGCGAGCGAAAAAAGCAGAAAATATCAAGCGAGGATACTCAGATTCTTTCTTTTGCAATGTCCAGCTTAAATAAATTTGCAGATGATGGAAGCTTTTTGTCTAAATTTATGCATCCCCCCAAAAGTGACAACTCTGGTGACGTTGTTTGTGATTCCTCTAATTCAAAGCCTGAAGCATTCAATGAGGTGAGACCATTGGAATCTAAGAAAGGTAGTGAAGACACTTCAATGGTGAGGCCAGCCTTGAGTGCAAATCAACTGGCAGCCAAGGTGATGCAGCTGCGCATGAAAGGATTGCATGATGAAGCAGACAAACTTATGAAAGAAGCAGAAGATATGAAAGCAAGGCAAGTTGCCAACGATGGTAATGGTGATGAGTCAAACAGATTACGAATTGATGGGAGCACAAGCAGCTATATTATGCACGAGCTGTCCAGTCGGCAAAAGAATAGAGAGGATGATGCTGACCTGCATTTAGCTAACAAGATTGCGCGGCACCAAAAGTATAGTATGTCTAGCCAGGCAGATGATGAATATGATTATGACAATAGTCCAAGAAGAAAGAATCGGAAGAAAGGAGGAGGGGGAAACAGTGGCAAATCAGCTAATGTAACTAATTTTGCAAATCGCATTTTGACTCAACAGGAGCGCTGTCAGTTCTGCTTTGAGAATCCAAAAAGACCAAAACATTTGACTGTTGCCATTGCAAATTTCACTTACTTATCGTTACCGCAGTGGCAGCCCATTGTCCCAGGTCATTGTTGCATTTTAACCATGCAGCACGAATCAGCTACGAGATCTGTTGACGATAATGTTTGGGAGGAAATTCGGAATTTCAAGAAATGCCTCATTATGATGTTCGCAAAGCAAGAGAAGGACGTTGTGTTCCTTGAAACTGTTATGGGATTGGCAAAGCAAAGGCGTCACTGTTTAGTTGAATGCATTCCTCTACCACAAGATGTTGCAAAACAGGCACCTCTCTATTTCAAGAAGGTATGACTTAAGTTATGCTTTAATGTCCTATTTACTTTGAGGTCTCTGTTGGAATGGATTTTTAAGTAGCCTTTCTTTTAGGTGTTTGGAGTAGAAATTGGAATTCTGAAAGTTGTTTCTTGAGGCATGCTCCATATTTTTGTCTCTTAGTTTTATAGTCTTGAGAATACACCAACTAATAACAAATTTTATTGCAGGCGATTGATGAAGCCGAAGATGAATGGAGTCAGCATAACGCAAAGAAGCTCATAGATACAAGTATAAAAGGGTTGCGGGCTTCAATCCCCAAGGATTTTCCATACTTCCATGTTGAATTTGGTCTAAATCGGGGGTTTGTCCATGTAATTGATGACGAAAAGGGTTTTAAAAGCAGTTTTGGGCTCAACGTGGTAAGGGGTATGCTAAAGTTGCCAGCTGAGGATATGCATTCACATCGGAAGCATGAATCTATAGAGACGCAGAAGCAAGCTGTTGCAAGTTTTGCAAGAGACTGGGAACCTTTCAATTGGACAAAGCAACTTGACTAATTTCTAATGCGTTTTGCTTTGCTAATGTCTCAATGTTTTCATGCATATATAGCCTACATGGGCTGGTTCAAGCACTGAACCATTCAAAATGACTACTGACTACTATAACTACACAAGGGATCCATACTTCCATGCTTTGAGTCACGTTTAGTCTATTTGTTTTAATTTTGTTAATTTATTATCTCTACCATCTTATGTGTCTGATTTAGAGATGGCAATGTGGATATAAGCATTAGCTTACATTGTTATATCGTGGACCATGGTCTACAGTGTAATGCGGACCTTGGTCTAATACAAATAATTTGATTTCATAATGTACAGAATTCATGTTAATAGATAGAATTTATGTTTTTACAACACATAAATATGATATAATGAACATACACATATACATAAATTTGATTTCATAGTGCATTGTGGACCCTGATCCGCGATATAAATTGCTAGCTTACATGGGCTAGCTCATTTGACCACCCAAAATGACTATGAGCGATAACTATATTTTTTTTTTTTGGAAGATGGTCTTGTTCAATTAGATATTTTTGTATAGAGATAATTTTTATTGATTGAATGGAACTCATCATGATTTCTTTAATTTTTATATTCATGATCTTTGAATTTTGTTTCTCTATGAAAATGTCTAATTGAACAAGATCTTTTTTAGAAGAGATGGAAGTTGGGATCTTGTATCCTGTCCCCTCAAGCTTTAACAATTCGGTGAAAAAAGAATAAAGTATGAATAATGTAAAAATAATAAAATATGAATAATGTAGAAATTTAAATTACATTGTTAGGTAGAGAGAAATAGAATTATTGAAATTGAGAAGGGAAGAGGTGATGTAAAGACTAAAATACCTTTGTGTAATAATAATAAAAGTAATAATAATTAAGGGTAGTAGTGTCACTCATTTAGTTTTTCCTTCCCCAAATCATTGAATTGCAATTCATGAGGTACCCCATGAATTGCAATTCAATAAAAGAAAGGAAGGATAATTCGGTCGAATTACAATTCCCTCCAACCAAACAATGTAATTGAGGTTTTCATTGAATTACAATTCGATTACAACTAAACTACATCCAACCAAACGCCCGCTAATCTTTTGATGAGTAGTCAACAAAATGTTAAATCGCCACATTTTTGGCATTTTGCAGTAAGACAAGTAGTGGTGATGCCCGCACCAATGCTGACAAGCATGTTTACTAAACTAGTTAGCAAATATAATTTGAGATCAATTGAACCAAACAAACTATTATGCACCATCCTTATATTCAACCTCCAATTTTTAATTTATGTGAAAATCCATAATTGCTATTTAATTTTCAATGTTGTGAACAAAATTAAGCTATGTTTGGTAGAACTTATAACTTATTTTAAACTACAAATAACTATAAATTTTGTCTGGTGAATATGGAGAACTTAAATTAATAGCTTATTTTGAAACGCTAGGATAATGACTTTGTTTAACATGTCTAGCTGAAAGCTAATAAGCTAACTTATGAAATAGGCTATAGGCTATTAACATTTCCCCCCTTATCTTTATCCATATTAATTTACAAAAATGACAACATTTATCATTCTCAAAACCCTAAACTCTCTATTCCTCCCAATTCTCTAATGTACATGTATTTTTTCTAAACATTCTTCTCCTCCCAATTCTTTTAACGTACGTGTTCAACAAGGTGGAGACAAGCAACACTCATCACCGTTGCATTGTAATCAAGCTCCCTTTTACTTTTTATTATTTAATCATAGTAATATATATATATATATATATATATATATATATATATATATATATATATATATATATATATATATATATACTTTTTTTTTTTGCAATATATTTCACTATTTAAATTTAAATATATAAATTTATAAAAATATCCTTTTATATCTTTTAATTTTACACTTATAAATTTTCAAAACTTTAATCTAGCTTATAAGTTAAGTATGCTAAACTTGCAACCTAAGAGGATTTATCATCCCACTATTTTTTTTTTCAATATTGCACAATAAAGTTGACAGAATGTTCAATTACAATTTACACAAGCAAGAAACTTAATATACCCATCCATTCTGTATAAATAGGGAGTACTTGTTACAAGGGCTGCTTCAATTCACACTTCACGGCCAGCAACACAAAAACTATAATTTAAAAAAAAATATCAGAACAAGGAACAAACAAATAAATTAAAAACCTTTTTTTAGATACAACAAATTAAAAAAGAAAATGATAAAAATAACCTATATGGACTTTCTCTAGATGTGTAATATACATACTGTTCACATAAACACATCACAAAATTCAGGCTGAAAGCCCTTGTTAGACAAAGGCACATTTATGGGTGAACACACCACCTTCATGAAATGACTGGACTTCACAAACCATACCTTAAACCTAATCTTAGCATAGATGGTTAGGTCCACGGCAACCTTCCCCGCCGTCGAGCTCTGGTTCTTCAGATCCCGGGTGGCAACGTCGGGGAGCACCGCCCGTCTGGTCGGGAAAACCAGCTCGAACTCCCTGGTGCTCTTCTTGCGCTGGTAAAACGGGCTGCCACTTGCGCTGCCGATTGGGTAGAGGTCGTAAGAAAGCGAGGCGTTAATGGAGTCGTAGTACAGCGAAACTTTGGCGTTGGGGTTTTTGGCCTTGATGGTGAAGGTGAAGTCGGCGGAGAGGCGGTCGTCGGAGAAGTTGTAGTTGCGGACGGAGGCGTTGTCGACGGTGTAGTCGATCTCGTTGGGGCGGATGGCGAGCCAGACGATGAGGATGATTGCGCCGGTGAGGATGACGAGGGTGGAAAAGCATGTGGTCAGGCATCGCACTAGGCTGAACCGCCGTGCCCGCGAGGCGGAGGAGGGGGCGGGCATTGTCGGAGAGGGCGGTGGGTCGGAGCTAGCTAGGTGGCTAGGTAGGAACGACGACCAAGCTAAATAGAGTTTTGTATAGTACGGAGTGTGTGCATTGGGCAGACATTATTGATGGATTTTGATAAGAAAAATTGAAGATGAAGATGATGATGGCACAAGAAAGGAATAAAGGCCTTACATTATTGCATGCCTTTTAATCTTTTATAAATTAGGTACATTTTGGTTTCTTGCATACAACTCAAGAGATCTTAGAGTTCGGTTCCACATTCTTTTTTAATTTAATTACTAGAAAGCTAATTAAGTTTAATTTGCACTAGTATGAGGTGCATCTATCTGGTGAAACTGGCCTTGTGACTCTAATAGCACTGTTGCAAAACTCGACTTAGGCGGTCGGCCACCTAGACGTCTATCTTGGCGAACTCGGTTGAGTCGGCCTTATTAATTTTTTTTTTTTAATTATGTCATACACCCACGCACTTGCAATGTTTTTTGTTTAGTTAGCCGCTTAGGCACTACTCTACTGCCTGATTAGAGCCTAGCGCCTATTATAACCATGCTAATCGGTAATGATTCATTTTTTACCTTAATTGGTAAAATATTATACAAAGAAACAAGGAGATAAATTAATCTATAACGAACATACTCGGATTAAAAAAGTACCATCTCTCTAAAAAGTTACTACGTACATTTAAAACTTTATAGTTATCAAGTCAACTGAATAACCACTTACTATTTTCAAAAAAAAAGAATAACCACTTACTACCTACATTTTTAGCCTATTAATTATTATTACCCACTTGATTTCTCTTCACATTGTTATGACTTCTGCTTTTGGAGTTGAACTAGCTACGAACTTCACGTGTGATATAGATTTATAAATAAAAGATCTATTGCATGCAACACCATTGTTCTGAATGGAACCAATTGGGACTCGAATAAGGGTGGGGCTAGGGGACTTGGTTTATGTAGGAAATTATCTAATTTATGTAATTGAAAATACAAGCAGAAATATGTCATATTTAAAATCTAGGATGCATTCGAATTTCATATTTCAATGTCCCTAGAATATGTTTTTTTTTTTTTTTTTTTTTAACTCAGCTCGCTCATAGTAGGTTCATGAGAAAGTAAATTGAGCCATTATATTTTGCTCACAAGTCACAAAAAGTTTATCCTATACTCAAACTTTCAATATTCGCGACATGAATTGAACCTTCACTAGACCAATATATACCCTGAAAGGTGGCTTTTGTATGTCTCTTGTCTTGTGTCTGTGTGTGCGCGGCTACGCGCGCTAATAAAGGTCTACATTGTAGTTTAAATGTTATACACTTTATTTTTATTGAACAAAATTGTTCTTATTGCATTTTTGTTAGATAAAAATATCCGACCTTACACCGTTATAACCCTATTACTTCTGAATAAATTTCAACATTAATAACTGCATCACTATTACCGTACAACTACCTCTATTATATCTTTTTCATATTCTTTAGTTATCATTATTTTTAAAAAAGTAATTATATAAAAATTAATTTAATTATATAGAGGTGATATAATTTTATAGACTTTGTAATGGCTTGATGAATCAAGTAATTAATGAATATGTGGTAAAACGTGACGCGTACACGGGTTGCTTCTTACAACAAGTGCGCATCCAAAGAATCACTCCAGAACCTTTCGTGTCCTATAAAGAATCTTACCTTGTAGACTCTTGAATTTTGAGATCCCAAACTCTACAATTGCCTCGCCAAACTTCCGATGATCTTCTCAACCCTTGGATGATTAAACAAGGCTAAGAACTAGACTTAGGAATCTAGCACTTGAGATAAGAAATGAGAACAAACTTAACTATGTAATATAAGTAGTAGTTCTATTCTTTTTGGGATTTTTCGGGTATGTGTATGAATGTAAAGAACAAGATTGTAGGATATGCCTTCTCGGCTTGTAAACTAGCTTCTCACTAGCTTACTTAGATTGAATGCATCTCACAAACAACCTAAACACTCAATGCAATTCTCATGCAAAGAAAAAGGGAGAAATTCTCATTTCATTCTAAATATTACAAGTTGATTTGAATCATTGGGTTATGGGGTTTTTATAGGGAAAAATTAGGGATTGTAAAAATATAAAATATTCTAGGTTTCATTCTTTAACTATGAAGTAAATAATTAAAAATTACAAGTTGCAAAATAAACCTCCCCTCCCCCCTTTTTGCGTATGAAATCAAAATTTTGTAGGCTGAATTTTCATCCAAAGCTTGCTATCTTTCACATGGGTTTGTCATAAGCATTTAATGCTTTGTCTCCTTGAGTAAGCAAGTTGCTTGAGGTGCTTGCTTAAGCTACTTGGTTGATGACAAGCAAGGAGGTGAGTGAGCAGCTAGGTAGTGATGAAGTTGCACAAACAAGTAGGTGAATCACTAAGCAAGTAAGTGATTTATCAAGCTAGTAGGTGAAGCACACTCCTTAAGCTAGTAGCTCTCTTCAAAAGTCTTGATGTAAAGGCCATTGAATAGATTTGTTCCTCCAGATTGATCTCCTTCTTCATAAATAGTTGTTGTACTCCAATTTGCTTGCACAAAGGTGTTAAAAGCCTCTTGAATCTTTTTGACTTGGATATTGTTGTCGGGCCACTAGAGACTTTCATCGGATCATTTGTTCGTTGTCTTTGGCTCTCATCAAAACGTAATGAACATGGATTTTTTTTTTTTTGTTGGTTGAAAAAACTACAAACTCTATTACAATGTAGTATCTAATGAATATGGAGTTATATCTTAATTCTTGGTGTGTAAACCAATGAAGTATGCTTTTGAGTAGTGATTATGTGTGTGTTTGGTTCGGACATGGGAATAGGAATCGGAATGGAATCAAATACTTGGTAATGGTAATAGGTTTTAGTGAAAATATTTTGCAAGTTTGGTAGTAGGGTGGAATTGGAATGATCACCAATATTGATATTTAGTTGTGTATGACCTTATAATGGGAATAAATGTTTTAAAAATACGAAAACAAAAAATGAAGGTATTGATCTTAATATAATAACATCTAAAGCATCAATATGAATAAAAAAATCAAAACAAAAATTTAAAAGTATAAATCCAAACTTAAAACTTAGCTAGATTACCAATAAGATTGAATGATACACCTTTTTAATTAGAGAATGAAATTTTTAATTGAAAAGGTAATCAAAATCAATAATTATATTTTACAAAAGTATCAACCAAATGCTAATTATAATTTTGATTTCCTCCTTTTTTAATGTGTGAACTCATGAACCAAACATGTAAATTTTTCCCAAAAATAAAGAAAACAACATCTTTCCTGTTAGAATAGTAGTTGATAATTACGTACTGTTGACCTGTTGTAGGGTCGTGATAAGGAGGAATACTGCTATAAGGGATGAGCTTGTAACAGTGTGATCATTTACATTAGTATATATCTTAGCTTCTTGTTTGTTTGTTTGTTCAATTTTTATTTTTTGAAAAAAAAGAAAGAGAAAACAAATGCAATTTTCACTTGGGCATGCCATGTCATATTTATGAAGCTTAAAAATAACCTTTTTGAAATAAATGATAGATTATATATATATATATATATATATATATATATATATATATATATATATATATATATATATATATATATATATATATATATATATATATATAGTGAAAGGTTCCCGTGCGGTTGAATGCTTCACGTGCGGTTGTGCGGTTATTAATGTGCGTGAGTGTTGTGTCTAATGTGTCTGAGATTTGTACTTAATGTGCGTGAATGTGTAAAATGAGCAGAAAATATGGATATCAGCTTCTTCCCCATCCCCAGTAGCCATTGCCCCCTCCCTGAGATTTGTTTATTTATTTATTTATTAATTGATTTATTCTGCTATGGTGAAGGTGAGTATGGAGGACATAGAAAAACTAGTGGAAAGAAACAGAGAATTTGATCTACTGGTGATTGGTATGCAAGAGGTTCCTCGGATTAATGTTTTCAGATTGTTGAAAATTCTCTTATTACTCACGCACATTAAGCACACATCTCACGCATATTAAGCACAATACTCAGGCACATTAAGTACGAAACTCACGCATATTAACTTGACACACATTAAGTACAAATCTCAGGCATATTAAGCATAACACTCACGCACATTAAGTATAAACCTCACGCACATTAATCCCCGCACAACTGCACGGGAAGCAATAAATGCACCTGATCCCTTCCCTATATATATATATATATATATATATATATATATATATATATATATATATATATATATATATATATATAGGCTTCAAATCTGGTGCAACCTCTATACTAGATGAGATCATGAGATCTCATAATATCCATTGATTCATTTTCCATAAATGGTTGAGATTATAAGAGATTGTGAAAGCAATTAAGGATATATTTAAATCAAAAGGATTAAATAGTAATTGTAGATATATGTTTAATTATGGATATAATTCAATTGGAATCTTAAGCATTATATTAGGGAGATTATGAATGGAAATTGATATTTTAAATTATTATGGACCCTATCAATGGTAATAATTAATTATATTTTGTACATCTGAAATTTTAAATTATAGGAAATTTTACGGCGGTGTGTGCGTGTGTGTGGAATGGTGTGTGCGTTTTATAGTTTGCCATGGTGTACACCTCCTGTTACAGAAAAATCGCACACGCCATTCCACACCCGCGCACACACCATCGTAAAATTCCTCACATTTTAAAAAAAAAACACAACAAGCCCAATATTATATCTACTACGCACTAATTATCTACTCGAAATTCAACCGCCGATACCCAAATCAGATTCGTATATTTTTGTTTTCTTTTGGATACGTTTCGCACACGCCCGAAGCTAGTAATATAAAACACAAACCAAAATGTGCATGCCTGTATCACGAAACGCACATACCAAAACGCATAATTTTATGAAAAAAACCAGCACGCCATGGTGTACGAGCCGAGCCCTGTTATAGTAAAACGCAC